AAACTTGACCCACTCCATTTGGGGAAAGAACCAAAACCCAGGAGATTATCTGGGCAGCATCAGGGCCACTGAAGAGGAATGGAAGTAGGCTGAGGGGGGTAGGTGGGCAGCACTAGGGCCAAAAGGGAAAGGTTCTGGGACCCAGATGGGCCTAGAATGCTCTGGAGGTTCACCTCTGAAAGCAGGGCCCTGAACAGAGGTCAACCTCCTACCCAAAAAGGTCACCCTCTCAAAACGTCATCAAAAAGAACGGAGGAGGAAGGAAAGATCACAAAGGCAGAACACATCAGTATTTTCAAATGCTTTACTCACCTCCTCCAGAAATTCCTAAACTGACCCTTAAATCTCTTTCATCTTAAAAAAAAGGGGGGGGGGAGAACCTTCAGTTGATAACTTCAGAACCATCTGTCCTCCCAACCCCAATCAAGTGTAAAATGAGTAACTAGGGCACTCCACAAAAGAGAGATCAAAGGTCAGCCATGGAGAAATTTGGGGATCCCCAGGGAGGAAGTCACTTCCATTCTTAAATTTCCTCTGCAGGAATAAGGAAGTTCTTCATAACTTGGATTCTGCTCTGATTTTTATTTTGTAAACCACACATTTGCTATTTAAGACCTTCATAATTAATTACGCATGACTTTCGAGAAGTAATAATGACCTCCCTAAAAAGAAGTCAGAATGACAACAGAGTAGAAACCAAAAAGGGTAATAAAACAGAATGAAAAGCAGGACTCTGAGCCGAGAGAACTCCAGTTTGATTTTTTTCAGTGTTTTTAGAGTTTCAAATATGACAGCATAAAACTAAAATGTCAGATTTTTAAATGGCTCCTGTTCCTATTTCCTGAAGTCACCAGAAATAACCAAAGGTGTTTTATACAACAGGGCGGCATCTTTCCGTACATTAAAAAAAAATGTGAAGAGGAGGAGTGGTTCTACATAAATAGGGCTTGGGAAATTATCTTTGTAGGTGCTCACGAAGGGAAGAGAAAACGTGACTAGCTGAGAGATCTGTGCGTGCTGACCCGCAAGTGCAAAGACGGAATGGACGTACACGTCTAAGAATCCATACACACACTACTCCCCACGGTAAAGCCCGTGATGGAGGAAAGATTACACCTGGAATGATGAATCTGTTCTGTAATACCCGTCACCAAAGAGGCCAAGAGAGTGTGACCAAAAAACAAAAAAACGCTGGCTTGAGGACCAACGGATGAGTGTGAGACCCAGTGGGGGCTGACTGAGCTTTGTGATGTGGGGGCTTCACCGCACCTCTCTTAGCCTCAATGTTCACACCTGGAAAACGAACTAGAGTGTGAATTAGTCCTTGTCAGTTTCATTTCATTCACTCACTCACTCCTTCATTCATCAAGTATTTGTTGAGCCACAGATGTCAAGCACTGTTTCTGGTGGCAGGGAAGAACCGTGATCAAAAAAGACTAACATCCTTAAGGGAACTTATATCCCAGATTCTGAAAATTGTAAGTCAGTTTTTCAAACCACGGGCTGTGAAATCCATTTAGCAGTACCAAATGCGCATTTTAAAAAGAACAAATGGAATAGTGTAAGATATCAGAGTACATCACAAAGAGGCAAGGTAAATTCTGTTCTCACAGAATTCTGCTTCGGTTATTGATATTTGTATTGCTGAGGGTTTGGGGTGGGTCAAGACGTATAAGGTGCTCTGAATGTGGGTTGGTTGTATCAAAGACTTTAAAATCCCTAATAAAAGACCTCTCTTTGTCCTAGCCACTGGCCCTCATCCTCTCCTTCACTCAGACTGCTTCGCAGGGACATCCTGCCCACAGATTAAATCTCATTACTTTCTCATCTGCCCCATGATGGCCTGGATAAATATCAAAGAATATGTTTTTCAGATCAGTGTTCCCAACCCTTCTGAGTAGGATTCCTTTTAACATCAGTCCCTTTTGTGCAACACTTGTCGGCTGATTAAGAAAATGAACAGTGGGGTGGCTGGATAGCTCAGTCCGTTAGCAGTCGACTCTTGATTTCAGCTCAGATCATGATCTCAGGGTCGTGAGATGGAGCCCTGCAAAGAGTTCTGCGCTTAGTGCAGAGTCTGCATGGAATTCTCCCTCCCTCTCCCTCTGCTCCCTCCAACCCCCAGCTCGCTAGCTCTCTCTAAAATAAATCTTTAAAAAAAAAAAAAGAGTAAAAAAGAAAATGCATAGTGCCCAAAAGCCACATGAACTTTTAAATGTATTTATAATGTATCTGTCCTAAGAGCTCCTACTTAGAAATACAAAGAGTACAAATGCACCCAAGACATAGTATTCCCTCCATCTACACCTCATGCTTGATGTTCAAACAGATTTGCAGGTTTCTTGTGCCCTGAGGGGTCCAGGGCACAGAGCCTGCTGATTACTGTTCTAGATCCTCTTTTATTTGGTTATTTTAAGAATCACCATGTTCTTACTAAATGACTGCTTTGAGTGGTTTCTGTTTAATGCTCCCTCCCCCTCCTTTTTTCCAATTAAAGCAAACTGCTAAACTTGAGCACTAGTGGGTACATGAGTTTGTTTTTAGTATTTGTTATTCACTTGCCTTTTTTTTTATATATATAATTTTGTTTTTAATATCATGAGCCCAGACTCCTACAGATTGCTACTAGGAATTGGAAAGACAATTGTTTGAAATTTGCCTGGAGACATCTTCAACTTTCCCAACTGTTTTATTTTTAACAGAAAACATCCAAAGGCAGCAATTATCGCAGCTGGGAAAAGTGAAAGGAGGTGGAAAGAGACACAAGGAGAGTAGAAGAGAACTAGAACAAGCAGGTAAATCCTTCCACGAATCTCAAACCCTCGCACACTGATCACCAAGATCTACCTGAAGTGACAGAACTGCGGCCTCTGCTTCCATGGTCCTTTGTCACCTGGGCTCTACTCTGTCATCCAGCTCCAACTCCCTACTGTGTGTTGTTTTTTTTTAAAGACTGATTGATTTCGCTTTTTTTTCCGCCATCTTGGAGTCAGTGGAGGCCTGCTGGGAACAGGACTCCTATAACGCCAAATAATGTCTGGAAGGCTGTGGTCCAAGGCCATTTTTGCTGGCTGTAAGCGGGGTCTCCAGAACCAGAGGGAGCACACAGCTCTTCTTAAAATCGAAGGTGTTTATGCTCGAGATGAAACGGCATTCTATCTAGGCAAGAGATGTGCTTATGTGTACAAAGCAAAGAACAACACAGTGACTCCTGGTGGCAAACCAAACAAAACCAGAGTAATCTGGGGAAAAGTAACTCGTGCTCATGGAAACAGTGGCATGGTTCATGCCAAATTCCGAAGCAAGCTTCCTGCTAAAGCCATTGGCCACAGAATCCGTGTGATGCTGTACCCCTCAAGGATTTAAATTTAATGAAAAGTAAATAAAGGTGTAGATTTGTTCTCTTGTAAAAAAAAAAAAAAAAAAGACTGATTTCAGAGAGAGAGAGCGCGCGCGCGAGCACACACAAGCAGGGGGAGCGGCAGGCAGAGGGAGAAGCAGGCTCCCCTCTGAGCAAGGAGCCTGACGTGGAGCTCGATCCCAGGACCCTGGGATCCTGACCTGAGCCAAAGGCAGCCCCTCAACCGACTGAGCCAGCCAGGCGCCCCCCATGTGTTGCTTTTGAGGCATTTTCTATATGTCGGATTTAAAAGTTAGAATGGATGATGTCATCCTTTTAGGGGCCAGGCATAGGGGAGATCCCCTATATTACAGAGGTCCAAGGTGGGACCCGCGGACAGGAGAAGGGCAGCAGAGGACAGGCCTTCCCAGCAGACCTCTAACGGCTGCCTCCCAGTCCCCACTTCTAGAAACCAGCTCTAACCTGGTATCTTCAACATTTCTCCCTGCCTGGAAATCCAAACTATAACCCAAAGGTTGCCACGGCTGCAACCAAAGGTTAAAGGAACGTAGCTTCAGCACACTCTCTACTGTCAGCAAGTACACAACCAAAAATACACACAGGTTTCCTGCTGTATCCTTTACCGCTTCCTTCTCAATTACCCACCTTGTAAACTTAAAAAGAGCACACTGTGACCTATTCTTCATTAATAAGGAAAAAGTTAACTTCTAGGAAAATCTGCTTACTCCTGGCAAGTTACAGAGCAGGTCATCTAGGGGTCTCCAGGCTTTCGCTGTAGAATGAGAGAACGGTCCTGGATGATGTGCTCAGGCTGCTTCCAGCCTCCTACTGCCTTGTGCAGAGAAACTAAGACGCTCCCTGCCGGTACCCGGCCTTCAGAAGGAGGTCATACTGGCCCCTGTGAAGGAATGACTGCTTCCCAAGGTACAGCAACACTGAGCTTTTTTTTTTTTTTTCATTCTATTTATTTATTTGAGAGAGAGTGAGAGAGAGAGAGCACAAGAGGGGGTAGGGTCAGAAGGAGAAGCAGACTCCCCACTGAGCAGGAAGACAGATGCGGAACTCCATCCTGAGACTCCAGGATCATGACATGAGCTGAAGGTAGTTGCTCAACCGACTGAGCCACCTAGGCGCAGAGTTCTTCTATTTAAAAACAAAATCTCTTGCTTAAGTATTTCTGTCTGTCTGCTACGCTCAGGATTCCAGAACAAAATCCAGGACGTCCACTAGAGGGGCCTTAAATGTCGTCAGGGCTTTAGATGCCTAAGCCTCATTTTAACAAAGACAAAATTGGGGGGGGGGCAGGCCTTAATAAATTACACATAGAAGGCCACAAGCAAAGACCTTCAGATTCCCCCTTTTTTGTGATTTATCAGCTCAATGAACTCAAAGTGATCAGAACTCTAGTGTTCATATCAAGAGTACCACCTTTAAAATCAAAGTTCCTGTTTTATGTATAAATAAACATATTCTAAATATTGAACGAGCCATCTCTCTCTGCTTGGATTCTGCCAACAGCTTTGTTTCACTAGTTTCAACACAGAAACACCGTGACACTAATAATTTTAAAGCCAAGCAAACCCCGGGTTGTGTCCAAGTTTTGTTAAAGCAAATTTAACCTTAGAAAATTAATAGTTACCACATTTCTGAAGAGTAGGTGATCCGGATGGAGACGAATTTCCACTAGGAGACAAGTAAAGATAGTTTTTGTTCACTCCTGTGTCAAAATCAAACGGGGACTGGTAATCTTCATAAAAATCCATCTCTCTACAGTCCATTCCAGACAAATGGAGGACGCATCGTTTTATAACCGTCTGGTATCCTTCAGTTGAGTGCCGCTCTGGTCTTATTCCCATGCAACCCCAGGGCTTAAAGATCCTGGCTTCCTGGCCCAGGAGTGATATTTCTTTCTCAGAGCCTTCACACCCTTAGGACAAGCAAGCCTGTTTAATAAATGACTTATCTGGAGCAACCTTAGGGCTCTATTCACCACCTGCTGTCAATTTCGGTCAACAGTGGAACGACCCCCACGCAGGGGAGCGGAGCTCTCTTTGGTAAACAAAGGAGGACCAGGTTCTGCAGTATCTCCCAGATGTACAAACAGTTCAAGCAAATGTCAGACGCTGGCACAATTACAAGAAACCACAATTTTTTTTTTTTTAAACCAGTCAGCTGACCACAACTACACCAGGGCGGACTTAATCTTCTAGGACAAGGAAGGATTACCAGTCAGTAATCTCCTACAAAAGCCATCTGGGTGATACTTTTTTCCACCCCGGATTACAACAGAGTCCTAAAAAGTCAAGCTTCCTGGTTTAGCGATCAGCTTTGTAAGTACAACTTCCTATAGAAATAAAGCTGTATTTCCATTATTACTTTATCTAAAGTAATGTCTGGCTTAGTGTAACACAAATTTCAGTCTGTCCTCCCACCCTCCCTCCTGTTCTCTTTCTTTCCCTTTCCTTTCCTGGAAAGATGGTGTTTTAGTGACATATACTGCCAAGAGTCGAGTCAACCATGAAGGGAAAGCGCCCACGGATTCTGCCCTTCCTGGTTTAAGGCCACACCCCTGCAGGTCTGCAAGGAACCTGCAAACGTGCAGGAGCAACATACTGCCCTTCGCAGAGCATGCCCTGCTGAGTGCCTGGCTCTCAGGGATCTCGGAAGCAAAATTTCTAAGTCACCAAATTTGCCTTCTTTGACACAAGTCTATTAGCAGATCCTTTCTATGTTAACCATGGCCTTTCCTCAAGGGATAGCACTGGAAGGTTCTGCTGCTGTTGAATGAATGGTTCATTTATTAAAGAGGTAAAAATAAAGGCAACCCCCTCTCCTAGGTGGGCAATGGTCTACCACCGCATAACAAAAAAAGGCAGTATTCTACCTTTGCAAATTGACCTGATAAAAATATACTCTCCCTGGGATGCCTGGGTGGCTCAGCCAGTTAAGCATCTGACTTCTGCTCAGGTCAGGATCCCAGGATCCTGGGATCAAGTCCCGCATCGGGCTCCTTGCTCAGAAGGGATCTGCTTCTCCCTCTGCCTGACTCTCCCCCTGCTCACACACATGCTCTCTCTCTCTCTCCAATAAATAAATAAAATCTTTCAAAAAATATGTATATAATCTCCCTGGATTGGAGGCAAATATAAAGCCTAAAATATTTTAGACATTAAAAAAACAATTGTGTCTAGTGTATACATCTTTGCACCAGGATAGTCTATATTCATCTCAATTTATGATTCATTTTCTATTTTTTTCTCAAGTTGTACTCTATTTTTGGCAAGCCTTTATCTAAGTTTTTAAAAGTTTACTTTCAACAAAAATCTGCCTTTTTCTTCTAAAATTCACCAAAATTTGAGCAACTATAAATACTGTTAAGTTAGAAATAGAATATAATGGCTTCTTCATTATTATTATTAAAAAAATGAATTGTCTGGCTTCTTGAAATCCAAGGTATTTCTTATCTCAATGGGATGGGCATCATGTCTCTGGCTAAGAGTGTGGGTGATGGGGCCTCTGGCCCTCTCAATACTCTCTGCATTTGGTCACTAAGTAACTGGTAGAAAAAACAGTTCTCTCTCTCAATGCTTATTCTTCTCCCTGGAGCCACAAGTATTAGAAAGTGTTAGGGACTGAATGTTTGCGTCTCCTCAAAGTTCATGGGCTGAACCCCTCACCCCAAGTGATGGTAGGTAGTAGGAGGTGGGACCTTTGGGCGGTGATTAGCTTCAGATGAGGCCAAGAGGAGGATGCCCCAGGAGGCGATTAGTGTCCTTGTAAGAAGACAGCTAGCTCCAGCTCTCTCTCAACCACCATGTGAGGACATAAGATGACAGCACATGCCAACCAGGAAAAGGGCTCTCACCAGGAATCTAATCAACTGGCACCTTGATCTTGAACTTCCCGGTCTCCAGAACTGTGAGAAATTAATGTCTGCTGGTATAAGCCACCACTCTACAGTGATTATTGCAGCCCAAACTAAGACAGAAATTTAATACAGACATACATACAATGCAAGCCACAGCCACCTCCACACTCCTATCCCTCCAAAACCCCACGACCTTGACCTTCAGTGATCACATTCATGTTACACCCTCTGCCTGAGATGCTGCCTTTTTTCTGCCTAATGTCATTCATCCTTCAAGACTCAGGCAGAAATGCCACCTTTTCTCAGAAGCCCTCCCAGTTTCTGTTCCTCTTCCCCAGCACTCGTTCCAGCAGCAGCACACAGAAGGTGACATGTCCCTTTGCCAGGCTCCCTGTGCCTCCACATCGTCCCCTTCAGGGCAGGCACCGCATTTTCTATTGTGATGCCTATGCCGAAGTTTGGGCTCTCATCAATGTGGAATGAAGAAAGTCAATAATGGCTCATGCGGACGCTGCATACTGTATCTATAAATATGAGGATTTAGAACTTAAGTGAATTTACCCTACCCGCCTCGGTACAATCTTGGTACATACATCCTTCTCTCCGAGCCAGCTGGAGTTCTCCAGTCAGATCCCAGTCACGGCATTCTAGCATGTAAGAGACGTGGGAATGGAAGACGAGAGGTGGGGAAAGCACGGGATATGTGAACGGTATGGCAAAAATTCATTCAGTTGACTCAAGATTCACGTACTAAGTAGAAGGAAGTTGTAAGACATAAAAGATGAAAATGCAGCTTGAGGACAAACCATTAAAGACCTTGAGTGACAACTTTTATACTTAATAGAACATGCAAAAAAAACCCGCTGAGGGTGTGTGAGCAAGGTCGAGACAGGGTAAAAAGTTTTACGAAGATGACTCTGGAAATGGTGAACAGGGCGCACTGCAGGTGGAGGCTGAAAAGGAGAGCCCTCAGAAAGCGTCTACTGGCACAGGAGGGAACGAGGAGGAGGGAAGCCTTTGTACCGGGGACTACTCTTCATTTCCTGCCGGGGCTACTGGCCCAAGGAAGGAAAAGCCAGGCGAGATTTGGTTCTGTCCTGCTGGATATTTCCACTGGGTATTCAAGAAGAACTTCAAAATCAGCAAGCCTAAGACTGAATTCACCAGTTTTCCTTACATTCTCACCTCTAAATGCTCCATCCTAAGTCCCTCGGCCTGACCTCACAGGATCACTGCCAAGTATTCCCATTCTATAAGGAGGCACTGCCAGGAGCTATTCATCCAACTTGCACCGTCTGCCTTTTTCCTGCTTTCCCTCTTTCCTTCTCTCCCCGACCACACCCTTCTTCAGACCTACCTGAGTGTTCTGGTAGAGACCAGCCACCATTGTGGGGAAGACGTCCGCAGCGCTTTCTCTTGAGGAATTTCATGTCGCCTGTTCCATGGCAGACAGTCTACCATAGTTCCCACCTACTCCCTGGTTGAGGCTTGGGCTTGGGCTTCAGATCTGGCCCAGGCAGATACCCTGGCCCCTTGTTTACAGGGACTGGCCTAAGGGTAGATATCTGACCCAAAGAGTGCCAACAACAGGTCTTCCCTGAGGTTGACTGGATGAGTAATGGACAAAAGTGACAATTCCTATAACCTGAGCTATTGGATGCCTGTTGGGAGGGGCCAGGGGTCTCCTCTCCTCGTGCCTACAGGGGAGAGAAACACTGCCGAGTGTGGGAAGAGAGGAAAGGAGAAACGAAACAAGGGATGGAGAAGCAGCATCTGAGCCCCCTGACCCAGTTACCCTGGGCTTCCCATGAAACCAACACATTTCTATTCTGCTTCACTTATGGTTGGATTTGGAAAGAGTCCCACAATACCTACTTTCCAACCATTTCCCACCATGGCCCCACCATGTTCAGCCAAACTTGGTTTTCCTGTTTCTGGAAAACATCCCAAGCTTGGTTTAGGCAGTTTTCTCAAACTAGAATGTCTTTTCTCTATATTTTTATACCTGTCAAATTCCTACCCACTAATCAAGCTCAACTTATAAGTCACATGTGAGCGGTATACGTATGAGGAATGTTCATTTTAGTGCTATCTAAAATGGGAAAAAAAATAAATACAAATGCCTACTAACACTGAATTATTTAAATGCTAAATTTAATTCATATAATAGGAACTTATCCAAACATTAACATGATGATGTAGAAATGTATAGATTTTATAAGAAAAGATATTTTTGATACATTCAGTAAATAAATCAGGTTCCAAAACTGTTTGTACTGTATAGTTCATAACTGTAATAATCGGAGAGAGACAAAAAAAAAAACCGAAAGAAAATGAGTGGAAGAAACCTATCCTACGACCCCAGAAAAGTGTTTATGCGCTGTAGTACCAGCAGAGGGAGCCCATGGGCGGCTCAGAAGTTAATTTAGTGCAGCCAGTAAAATGCATGCTACAGAACAACAACCCATTAGATGACTCATGTTATTGCAAACAGAAATGAAGTAAAAATGACTATAAACAATATTAAGTTTCTACCTGCCTATTAACACTTCACTCAAATATGTCTGGGTAGGTTGTCCCTAATTTTAAGAGATAGTTAAGAGAGAGCCTGATGTAAAAGCTGCAGAACACATACAACAATTCACTTGGAGGGGCCTTGAAGGGCACACAGACAGATGATGTCATTACCGGCAGGAGAGGCAGGCCACTGATACCGGGCACTGTGGACGTGTCACAGTGACACAGGAGACAGCTGGAAGGAGCTCCAGGGGGCCAAATAAACAACAATTTCATCACCAACAGAATTAAGGATAGCAGATTATAAATCACTGAAAAGAGGAATCCAGGAGTCCATATGTGATGCTTAACTTTGTGTGTCATTCAGACTGGGCCACAAAATGCCCAGAGATT